AGGGAAAGAGTAAGACGGAAAAAATGTCTCGGGCAAAGGTTAGTGCCCGGAATTTCCTCATCCTCGACCTGAAAACTCCGAACTCGAGCGAGCAGAAGCGTATGCAGAATCTAAATCTACAATTTTAGTGTGGTAACTTGAGACAATCATAGGCATTTGCCAAATGCTCTTCCTCCTTGGCACTCTAAGCTTATTGTGCTCTCATGATTTGTACTTTGTTATTACTTTTCTTACAAGTTAAAAGGTTTTTGTTTGGTCTTTTTTTTTTCTTCTAATTATTTGGTTTATTGTGGTGTGGAGACTATTTTCCTTTTCATCTGTCGGCTTGTATACGTATTGATTGACGAGGAAATCGGGCCGAAACGGCGTCGTTTGACATCTAAATGCGAAAAAAAAAACTCTCGTGGTCAGTTCCATTAATTCATTTAGTTTCGGATTTTATAAATTTTATAATCAAATTGTTATTTATTTTTAATCGATTCATGGTTGTATCTAAATAAGATTATAATTAAATAATATAAATAAATAAAAATTCGGTTAAATTCGATTTGAATATGGATATAATAGTAAAAAAAACATATTGGGAAACATTATTGAAAAAATGTCAAAGATTTTATTTTAATTTATATATCATAGTTATAAAACTATATAAATACTTTCATTATACTATTATTCTAGTTAGATTCAGTTAATTTAGTTACGATTAATTCGGATTTTGGGTTTCTAAAATTCATAAACTAAATGATAATTCATAACTAAATGTTTATTTAATTTAAATCAATTGGATTCGAATATAAATCGAATATATATATATATAGTGAAAAAAACACAAAATCAGTAATAATACTATTGGGCTCACTGTATGATATTGGACCTGGTAAAAGGCCTATTGCCTAATGAAACAGTCTGACGTGGACAGCCCAACTGTTGGGTTACAAGAAACGACGTCGTTCATTATTTATGGTCCAATTTTCACTCTCATGTTGGCAGAGACACGTCAGCATATTTCGATGGGCTCGGCCGTCCGATTTAGTGGCTCTCCTGTAATTTCAGTCAACTTCGTGTCTTAAAACAAAACTAACATTTTTTATAAAACTAATTTTAATTATTAATTTTAATCACTCAAAGGGGAGACCAAAAGAAGGAGGTTAGGGAGGACGACACGCTTTCTCTCTTCCCCCGCCATGACCAGCTCTTCATCTCCTTCACGCAAGGTCTTTTTCTCTGGATTCAATTTTCGCGCGTGTTCTTCAATTTCAGACATCGATGCTTGATTTATTTTTTCTCGAAATTTTATTGAGCTTCTGATTTGGTGCTCATGCTCAGGCGTTAAGCAAGATCGCGAGCAATAGGTTGCAGAAGGAGTTAACAGAGTGGCAAATAAATCCTCCCACTGGGTTTAAGCACAAAGTCACCGATAATCTTCAAAGGTACAATCCCAATTCCGTTTTCGATTATGTAGATATTTTTGGGGAATTTCGATCGGTTAAGTTCCGTTTTCTATGAATTTCGTGTGTTTGATGAACTTAGATGGACAATCGAGGTTACCGGAGCTCCTGGGACACTTTATGCGAACGAAAATTATCAGCTTCAGGTTGATTTTCCAGAAAATTATCCCATGGAAGCGCCTCAGGTAAGTGATCTCAAAAGTCTTTGGGCATTTTCATATATTTCCATCTTTCATTTTTGTTGAATGTTTTTGGGGATTTGATGAAGATTGCATTAGTCTGAATCGGTGAATTGTGTGCATGAGTTCTTGTTTGTGTTCTTACGTTTGTTTTGATGGAAAGCTTCGGTGTGTATTGCCATGTTTTTGTGGAGATTGGATCAAAAACATTGATTTCAGCCGAATTTTTCGCATTATTATATCCTTCTTTTCTACTTCCTGTTTGATCAGCTTTAAATTTCTGGAATGGTAAAGAAAAATTCGGAATGGAAATAGTCCTTGTGTGATTAATGAAGCAGTTGAATCAAGAGGGTGGTGCTTTTCTTTCCTGTGTTACTACCACTTCCAGTTACGAGGAAGTAGAAATATTTTTTTGTTCTTTCTTCTTGTTGTCAATGCTTTTTCATCATTGAGCAGGTGGTTTTTGTTCCTCCGGCTCCGCTGCATCCCCATATTTACAGCAACGGGCATATTTGTTTAGGTAATGTTATCGCCTTATCCTTTTGTCCTTATTCATGCGTCTATGTTTATGTCCATTGTGTGTTCTCCTGTCTTGTCTTACTATCCCTAGTTGCCTCTGTTTCTTGATGCTCCATGTCTCGATGCGAAATGGTCATGCTTTGATGAATTTATGATTCCAAAGACTTCAGTTGTTGATTAATACTCCATGATGTATAGTGCTGGTTAAGATTGAGTGTGAATCTGCTAAGTTTCAAGAAGTGGTGATGATTATCAATGATACATCTTGAGTGTTATGATCCGTATGTTGCTGACCAGATGTAAGCAGGGAAAGATTAGGTAATATTTCTAGTTTTTTCGTGCAGCAGAGCATCCTAAAGTTTTCTCATAAGCAATGTTTTATGTATTTTCCCTTAAAGGCAGATGCTTTTCTTACAGGGGTATAGTTCCTTTAGACCGGTTTAATGGGGTTGCATTTAGTTTGCATGTACTCTACTACGAGACTGACATTACCCTTAGAGGGTGATATAGTAATTGTGTATATACGGGATTTAACTAGGTTTAAGTCTATATATTACCATGTACATCGCAGTGAATAATACACGCAAAAAACTTTTACCTTATGCCCTCTTATTGTAGGCTGGATTCTTTAACAAATCAGATTTTTTTTCATGGTGATACCATACTCGGTATTAGAGAGAAAGTAGGAGTAGTAGGTATAGAAGAGAAGTTACGAGAGGGACATTTAATGTGGTTTGGACATATAAAATGTATGCTGATATACGTTCTGGTTAGAAAAGTGGAGAACATAGGAATGAGAGCGATGAGAAAAGGGAGGGGTAGACTTAGTCTACTTGGGAATGAGTCATTAGTAATAACTTGAATTGTCGCAAATTCCAAAGGAACTAACCCAAAACCGAAATGAGGGGGAACAAAGAACTTATTCGGTCGACCTCAAATAAACTTGGGATTAAAGTGATGTTGATGTTGATGTTGATATTGATATTGATGTTGATGTTGATGTGGGGATACCATACTCGGTAGCTCTGACAAAAAATGTAATGGGATCTGTGATATATGACAGTGTTTCTGGTCATCGTCTCATGCAATCCTTCAATTCGTTGTAGAAGAATACCTTCATGAAGGCATGGCCATGTACATGTTAATTTTGAAGTTTTGTTTCTTACTCTGCTGCATTCGTTATTAGGATAGAAAACAATAACTCTAAAACTAGAGAGATTTTGCTAGATTTGTTGTGAAAACTCAAAGATGAATTAATATGGTATGATACTTGAGGATCATGCCTTGTCATGTTGTAATCTGAGGAAGAGTAATATAGTTACATGATTATCATACATTAGGGTTCCTTTCTTTTTCGAGGCTATACATAGATATATATATATATGTGTGTGTGTGTGTGTGACGTCTGTATGGGCTTGGCAGATATTCTATACGACTCGTGGTCACCCGCAATGACGGTGAGTTCAGTATGTATCAGCATCCTCTCCATGCTCTCGAGTTCACCCGCAAAGGTTCGGCCTTTATCCTCAACTCTCCTCATTATCTGCCCTTCCCTACTGTCGTTATGAACTAACGATATACATTGCTTCCTCTGTTTCAGCAACGGCCAGCGGATAACGACCGTTATGTGAGGAACTGCAGAAACGGGAAATCCCCGAAAGAGACAAGGTGGTGGTTCCATGACGACAAGGTGTAGAAATTCCCGGGACAAAGGCACTTTTCCGCAAAACAAACGAGGTTTAATATACTCTTCTAAACCCCGAAACATATAAAAAAATATAATCTAATTGAATCGTGTAAGGACTCGTAAATAGAACGGTAAGCGTGGAGATATATCCAAATTACATTTTCTGCATTTTCAGAAGAACCATGTTTAGCTTTTTGAAGTTGCTGCAGGGTTTCACAAGAATCCGTTAGGGTTTATTGGGAGCGAAAATATCGTTATTTCGGTGTCGGATATGCGAGTTCGTTATGAAACCAATGAGTTCGGTGTTGTATTTGTTCGGTCCGACCCGTGTCCACCCCTATAAGTTGTTGGTGTTGCCATTTTATTGTTTGGAATCTGATTTGTTTACGTTGTAATTGATAACCAAAGTAAACCGAACCGGAATATTACGGTTCAGTCTTGGTTATGTAGCTAATTCGTTTGTTAAACTGAACCACCCCTTGAGAGTCCACTGGAAACGGCGACGTTTCCTCTTCAAACGACGTGCCTTCATTCGAGAAAAAACAAATCCATAAAATTTGAACTTCAATGAAATAAAGTGAAGAGAATTTTTTGTTTAGTAAAATAATTTGAGAAAAAAACTGAACGAAGTTAATCCACAATTATATATAAAAAAGAGCGGATTAACGATTATTTAAATTTAAAAAAAAAAGAGAGATGGATATGAACTCATGACAATGGGTAACAATGGATCAGAATTGCTCATGTCGTGGAGTTTTGATGATAATGACGTGTGTGTGACAAATAAATGATAATGGATATGGTGAACTTGAAATATAAAAACTGAAATTAACAAAGGAAGGAACAAAAAAGAAAATATATATATATATATATATATATATATATATATTGTAAAATAACCTTTTATCCTTATGCCTTGATGGGCATGGATCCAGGCCCATATATTATGATTCGGCTACTACCATGGATTTCCCCTGTAATTAGAATTTTTTTTGCTAACTGCCCTGTAATTAGATTTCCTAATCATATATTTGTTTTCTTCATAAATTAGATTTTGAAAACTTGATTTTCTTTTATTTATTATTTTTTTTTTATTTAATTTGTTTGTATTAATCAAAAATGGTTGGACATGGTCCAGGATACAAAAATCCACAATACAAGCCTTTCAGCTATACAAGCTTTTGCTAAATGACCCTTAATAGGGAGAAGAACTTACACAGATTGTCATTTTCTACACTTGTCTACGTCTCTGTACTATGGTATAGAGTCAATGCATACCACTTCTGTAAAAGGATATTGTTTGCAGAATCTCTTGCTTGTTGCAGCACAAGTAACGTGTTTCTGATCGCTTGGTCCACCCGAGTGCTGAGGATGGGTGCCGGAGTAGAAGAATTCGTGAAGACCCTGTTATTCATCTCCCTCCACAGTTCATAAATCATTTGTTGGATAAGAATTTTGCTGAGGGTGACTCTCTGATCTTCATCTTCCGCCGGAATGCTTGCTATCCATTGACGACATCCGAACAGATCTCGCGGTGGGTTTCGCCAGATTTTTCCTGCAAATCTTGGCCACACTACATAGCTGTAAGAGCATCGGAAGAAAAGGTGTGCGTGTGATTCCTCTTCGTCATTGCATAGTTTGCAGGTTGCATCCTGTATTAGATTCCACCTTAGCAATCGGTCTCGTGTTGGCAGCCTTCCATGCATAACCATCCAATGAATAAAAGAGGTTCTAGGAGTTGCCTGCTTGAACCAGACCATGCGAAACCATTCCACTTGGGCTGAAGTGTTTCTTAATTTTCTCCATGTTGCTGAAGCTGAGAAAGTAGTGGAGTAAATGTTGTCTCCTATCTTCCATTCAAAGGTGTCCTCGGCACAGGCTTCCGTTGGCGGTCGTATGTCCAGAAGTTTGATCTGCAACTCATGTATACGTTGCGATCGAGCTCCTGGGAGGCACCAATTCCTTCCTGAAGCGGCTTGACAGACTCTAGCATTTAATGGGATTCTGAGCAGTCTCGGTCCCTCTACCCCGATGTATTCAAGCAACGGTCCCAGATCAGTCCAATTGTCGTGCCAGAAGAACGCTCTTTTATTTATTATTGAATGAATGCTTCAAAAATAACGATACTTCCTAACAACTAAAATTTTCGAAATAATAATTATTTTAGAAAAAGCCTTATATAAATACCTTAACTACAATATAGTATCCCAAATGATAAAATATTCCAAATTAATATTTTAACTTCTAAAATTAAGGGTAATTCTCAACCAAAATACCTTACATTTGTTACAAAAAAACGTTTAAATCGATAGGGATATTGGGTAGGAATTAATCTCAATTTTAGGAGTTGAGTTATTAATTTGATATAATTTCATTAGTTAGTGTATTAGTTTGATATTTGAGATATTATTTTGTCAAATTAAAAGTTAAAATATTTATTTAGCACATTTTAAAAAATTCAAATATTTTTATGATATTTTTTATATTAATTTATGACATATTTTGAAAATATGTTTATTAAGATAAATTTCTTTTTCTTTTGCCTTTTTCATTAAATCGATTAGATGGCAAAAAAAAAATATCCGGCCATTAAAAAGACTACAAAACGTGGTGTCGTCGAGGATCAAACATGCACCGACGTAAACGGAACGGAGATCTTAACGGCTTCGCCTTGGAAACGGCAGAGCGACAAACGGCGCTTACACGGCGTTTTCCTCTCCACATGACATAAACATAAAACAAATTAAAGTTCCGTACGAATCTCTATTATTGTTGTTTTATTTGTCCAATTGTTATATTCTAAGTAGGATTCATAATTTTTTTAATTTAATATTTAATATTCGATTATCCATCACCAATTTGTGAGAAAATGCAAATAATAGTTCCATTAATATCTCACACTTTCCAAAGTTCAAAAGTCCCAAATTCATACGTTGTTAGAAACCTATGCCGCTTGTAAACCAAATTTAGATTTTGAATATCGTAAAATTGGCAGAGAAAAAATATCCTACATTATGTCACGGTATATATATAAAATATTTTCTATAAATAATTCACTATCCATTTTTTGCGTTGTTAAATCAATTTTTTTTAGATAAATTTTAATATTTTATGTTTTATAGATAAAACATGTCACAATTGATATATTAAACATATCGAGGGTGATTAATAAAATTAATAAGTATTTTAATTTTATTATCAATTCGAAATTATATTTTTATATTTCAATTTCTTTTATACTATTACATCAACATTTCTATATTATATCCAAATTTATTACAAACTAAATCAACTTACTATCAGAAATTTTTTAAAATTTTATACTAAAATGCGTTCAAAAAATAAGATGTTAAAATATATATATTATAAAATTTAGTTATTAAAATATGTGATGAATAATAATTTAGATATTAAAATGTATGTATTTATCTCATATATATTCTTCATTATCTTTTGGAGATTGTCTAAATACACTGCAAATCAGTCAGTAGTGATGATAAAATACCAAACACATTGTCCATTGGTTAGTTGGATAGACATCAAAACTATATACTAATTAACTTGGTCCCCTTCAATAATTAATTAAATAAATACTAAAGAACATAACCTTTCATTTTCATATGCCAACTAAATATTGTCCTCTTTCTTTTCCTATTTCTCTCAACATTGATTCTTTTTTACAATAATTCAAAGAAAATAATTCCTTAATATGACTTAATTCAATTAAATTTTCTAGGAAATATTTCTCTAATAAATTCTAGGTTTGAATTTTATTAAAGATAATAGTATCATATGTGCCCACAAAACTAGATATGCATAGATCTTTGATAAAGAAAATGAAGAAAAAAACCCCTAATGGACTTTAATCCAATATTGATTAACCAAAAAGTGACATTAGAAATGGAATTGTCGGTGCAAAAAGAAATGTTTTTTTTTCCTATTTAATGATTTTTAATTAATTAATTAAAAAAAAGCACGACCCACGATTTTTAGACCGTGATGATGTCTACTTATAAAACTCCTCGTGTAAGCAAAGCTTCTATCATTATGGATAGACACATAATGTAAAACCAACGATATAATATAATCTCTTCTACGAATTGGAAAAGGGAAAATACATGAAATGAAAAAGCGAAAAAAAAAACATTTGATAAAGATTACAATTATAATTAATAATAGGGGTGAGTGTTCCGATATTCGGTTCGAGAATTATTCGATTCAATTTTTTTGATTCTATAAAAATATATATCAATTAGTTATTATTTTATATTCGGTTCGTTTTCGATTTTTGTTAAGAAAATTTCAGATTTTTTTAAAAAAGATTCGATTTTTTGGATTTTTTTAAAATTCTGTTTGGTTAGGTTTTGAAAAATTCAGTTTTCTAAAAAAAAATCCGTTTAGAAATTTTAGACAATTTAATTCAAAAACTGTACCACATTTTTTGGTTTGATATGGTTCGTTTTCGAATAACCGAACCAAAACAGCAACCCCTAATTAATAACACACCTATATATATATATATATATATGCAAATATATGATGAAGTCGATCCAATCCATGGATGGCAACCACATGGACTGTCCTTTTATCTTTGTCTTCTCATCACATGGCCCCTATTCTATGATTTATATTCGAATGTCATATCTAACCTATAATAATAATATCGTGTATATATAATCCCATGTATTTTTTTTTTTACAAACTTTATTCCATTATCATATATATATATATATATATACATCTGATATTTTATCGGAATACCTTATAGATATATATTAGTTTTTAGTTTATTAATGAGATTTAAAATTTTTGTCATAATATATGTTATTTAATTGAATGAATAATACAACAAAGTTTTATCTCTAATATCTGAGTTTTGTGTGTGAATGATTTCTGACACTGACTTTATACATCGAGTGATATAATATAAGGTGCATTATTCTTCTTGCTCCACAACGTTTTGTATGCATGCTTCCTTATATGTGTCGTCCACCTTTATGAGTTTCAATCGCTAGCCATTAATCTATCAACGCATGCTCTAAAATTTATGCATATTACATAGTTTCAAATTAAATTTGTAATAATTTTGTACTTTAGGTGTTTAAGGCAGAGGATGATATATTTATTATACAGATTTAGGGTTTTGGTTTGATTTTAATTCGGATACTTTTTTTTTTAATTCAAACCTGTAATTAATTTTTTTATAATATTATATCCTTATTATATAGAATTTTAGTTTATTTCATATTTTATTTAAAATCAGGTTGAATTTAAGTTTTATTTATACAATATTTATTATTTGAAAATATTTTGGTTTCAGTTTATATTTAGTTATCTATAATTTAATTTTAAAACTGAAACCCAGTAAACTTTTAGACCGAATTTAATCTGTATAAGATTTTATGTTATACGTTTTATATATCTACACTGATGACGATGAAGCATTAAATAAATTACCAATACTATAAACCTTCCGCATAGTATCTTATCAAGTAACTGATAATAACATGAAATGTATGTTCCGCCCCGAGTTCGAATCCCAGACTGGGGAAGAGGTATTCACATGGCTTCCCTCCGACCCCAAGATTAGTTTGGATCTCGGTACAAGATACCCAGTTACCCAAAAAAAATATGAAATGTAAACGTAATGCAACATTTTTCTACAATAATCTATATTAATAATAACATGAAATATTTTGAACCAGGATCGGATGTCTCAACCGGTAAGAAAGGGAGCAAAGTTTCTTTCCAACCCGGATTCTAGTCCTCACTCGGGGAGGGGTATTCATATGGACTTCCCCGTTCCTCTCGAAGATGTAGTCGGACCAAAGATCTGGTGAACTTTCAGATTATAAAAAAAAAATATATATTAAAATTTTTTTGGTCTCTCTCATATTGTAGCAACAAAGTAAATGATATTCAATTATGAAAATGAAAGATAGATATGGATAGAGCATATGTGAACCAAATGGTGAGAGCTTGGGGATAACATGATAGATCATGGTATGGCCTATGGTTGCTGCCTCCGTGACCAAATCCGAGTTTGCACATGCTAATTAAACATAGTTTAAAATTTTAAAAATATATAAATTAAAAAATAGAAAATTAAAATATTAATGCCTATCAAATTTCTCTAAATAAAATCCAAACTTTAATTTTTACCTTTTAAAACTTTAACTTTGTATGTTCATATTTAAATAAATCCAAACTTGATAAATCATATCGAATTTAACTCTAAACCCCTGATATAACAAATCGGACGATGACGTGATAATATTGACTTTGACAAAACGTTGTCACATTATCTGCCACGTGGACGAATTTATAATTACCACGTCATCGTTCTGGTTGTTATATTATCATTTAGGGTTAAATTTGACGTGATTTAATAAGTTCAGATTTATTTAAGTATGAACATCAGAATTCTGAATTTAAAAGGCACAAAAAATAAAGTTAAGATTTCTTTTAGAAAAATTTGACAATTTCATGTATTAACCTTCAAATTTCCCAAAACAAATCTCTCTCTATATATATATGGGCTCTGTTTGAACAATGGCATGCACTAATGTAGAATTAATATAAAGATCAAGTAAATGTAAAACGACTAAAAAAAATAAAACGTGAAAAATGTAAAGATATGATAAATGTCGAATTTATAATTTGTATTAAAAGCTCAAACACATTTAGAGACGTGAAAATAGGTTGGTAGTCTGCGAGCCCTAACTCATAATTCACAAAGTCGATCCACTTAGGTTTCATAGGTAAATGTAAACTTGATTACAATTAAATATTTTTCAGCGTATTTTATATGAATTAAATGGAAATAGACTTTGCCCAAGAAATATCAAACTTAGGGCTGGACTATATATATATATATATATTATAAAACTATATATTTTATTTACTATCCTTGAATATATATATACACGTAACACGAAGGCTCATGGATGGATTGTAAGAGTTGCGTGATAAGATACGATTAATTTTGGTCGGACCGAAATTACAAATTCCTCTGAAATCTTAGTTTAATTAGGAATTCAATCCGCCCATTAGGGGTGAATATTTTGGACTTGAATTCGAGTTTGATTATTTCGGTTTTAAAAATTATAATTATTCTATTTTTATGAGTAACATAACTATTTTGATAAACTTTATTTGGATTTTATCAATTACGTGATTGGATATCATAAATTACAAATACATGGTGGGATGATTTTTTTTTTTACTGATACAGTCATAAAGATATAATATATTTAAATTATAACAAATAAATGTAGAATTCGCAACCAAAGAAAAAAAGAAAAAATCCAAAAAAAAACACTGAACTTTCAAATTTTGACAAAAAAAATACTGAATTTTATTTTTTGTCAAATAAACATTAAACTTTTTAAACGAATCTAAAAAAACACTGAACTTTTTAAATGATCTAAAAAATACATGAACTTTTCTGCGATTATCAAAAAAACACTAAACTTTTTTAGTAATCCAAAAAAATACATGAACTTTTTTCAATTGTCAAAAAAAACTAAGTAAAATATTCTGACGTGTTTACATCACATTGTGCCACGTCATTCATTTTGTTTGTTTTGAAAATCGTAAAAGAGTTAAGTGTTTATTTTGTCAAACTTAAAAAGTTTAATGTTTATTTGATAAAATAAAAAGTTCAGTGTTTTTTTTGTCAAAATTTAAAAGTTCAGTGTTTTTTTTTTGGATTTTCCCAAGAAAAAATTACAGTGACAATTACCGATCCATAATTTATGATTTTCTTTTTTGAAAATATGAGACTCTATTTCCCAATAACTAACTATACGAGAAAGATACCCACATACGAAAATTATGGTCAGAATTAAATTTTAGATTTCACATTACGTTTAGAAATAAAAAAAGAGGAGAATATTATCAATGGCGTAAAAAAACTGTAAGTGATATGTGTTTGTTGGGTGCTTTTTGGTCCCATGTGGAGCCGAGCAAAAAATCATAATTTAAAACTCAAACTTTACAAAATGACAATAAGTTTTAAAATTTTAAAAAATTTCACAAACCGACAAATCCACGTTGCTTGTTGCCATCGTGTATATCTTAATAATCAGTTTCTTCGTAAAAAACAAAAAATCGTATAATAAATACAACTTCTATAAAATTTACCAAATAAATATCTAAACTATAAAATTCTCAAATAAATATCTAAAATTTTTAAAATACAAAAATACTCAAACTTTTAAAAATCTCCCAAATTGAACAATATTCGTTAACGGTCTTTTAACGTGTCAGAATGTTAAGTCATCAATTTTTGATGGATTCTGTTATAAATTAAACGTCGTTAATAGATTTTTGTTTCATTTGGAAGATTTTCAAAAATTTGGATATTTACGTGAAAGTTTTGAAAAGTTTAGATATTTATATGGAAATATGTGGGAATTTTGTAAAAGTTCAGATATTTATATGCAATTTCCTAAAAAAAAATTCTGTTTAATATTATACATTGCCATGTTCAATTTTTCTTTTATAATTAGATTTGGCAATTATTTATTATAATTATAATTAGCTTTAACAAAGTTTAACACAAACAACAACATTAGGGGGGGGGGGTTTCCTTCTAAAAGTTGTTTCAAATTTACATTTAACTAGAAAATCAATTTGCATAATAAACTACATGCATTTTTCTTCTGAAAATCCAACTAATCGATTATCAGTATATATATATATATATATATAATTATATATACACACAATATATATATATCCTTAAACAAGTACGTTGTACCACCTGCTTAGACCCAAACAACTTCACTATATTTTCACCATCTTCTATTCTTCACCTTTCTTTTCGAAAGGTTCAGTTTTTCCCTCTCTCTCTCTCTCATTTGTTTCAGAGAGAGAATGGGAACCGTCTTGGTTTCCAAGATTCTAACTTTCTTGCTCACGACAATTCTGGTGAGCTCGGCAGTGATCCAGTGCGGCGTGACGTACGATAAGAAGTCCATCGTCATCAATGGCCGTCGGAGAATCCTCCTCTCCGGCTCCATTCACTACCCACGAAGCACACCTGAGGTCTGTCACCAGGAGAGAAAAAGTTGAAACTTTCTCGAGAAAATGGATCTTGACAAGCATTGAAAAAGTGGGTTCGTTTCCATTTTTGATAATTTTTTTTTGGCTTTTTTTTTTCCAGATGTGGGAAGATCTTATCACGAAGGCTAAAGATGGAGGCTTGGATGTTATCGACACTTACGTTTTCTGGAATGGCCATGAACCTTCTCCGGGCAATGTACTGTTCTTCTTCTCCTCCTCTTTTGAATTCTGGGTTTTGCTTAAAATCTCTGTTTTTTCACTGCAAAACCGAATTTGAGATGCCAGATTTGGCTAATTTGAAATCTGTCGGTTAATTCTTTTTAATCATTCTACTGTAATGATCTGGATTTGGGTTATGGGTTTTCCCCAGATTTTACCCAATTTAATGAACATGTTGAACTTTTTTTTTTGGTGAAACAAAACACTGCAGTATAATTTTGAAGGGAGATACGATCTTGTACGGTTCATCAAGACAGTGCAGAGAGTGGGGCTTTATGTTCATCTCAGGATCGGTCCTTACGTTTGTGCAGAATGGAATTTCGGGTAATGTTCCAGAGAAAGTAAATGAAGCAAATTTCATTAAATTCCTTTTCATGGGCTAACGTTGGAAATTTCAAATTTTGAATCTTTCTTCTAAACACATTCCTTGAAACTCGTGTTTTTTTCTTCTTTTTCTTACAGAGGATTTCCAGTTTGGTTGAAGTATGTTCCTGGGATTAGCTTCAGAACCGACAATGGACCCTTCAAGGTAATAAAGATACACCCTTTTTGCTGAATCTTTGATGCAATCTAATGTAAATTTTACTTCTGTTTCCGTTGTTGTTTAAGGCTGCAATGCAAGGATTCACTCAGAAAATCGTCCAGATGATGAAGAACGAGGGATTATTCGCGTCACAGGGCGGACCGATCATCCTATCTCAGGTATTGTTAAAGATTCTGATGCAATCTTTTCGTGTTAGATTGGAAAAGCTGTGATCTTTATTCAAATGTAAATGCAGATTGAGAACGAGTATGGACCCGAAAGGAAGGCACTTGGATCGGCCGGACAGTCTTACGTCAACTGGGCAGCGAAAATGGCCGTGGGACTGCAAACTGGAGTCCCGTGGGTGATGTGTAAGGAAGACGACGCACCCGACCCAATCGTGAGCACAATGTCTCGGTTTCGTTTTCATCGGTTTTGGTCTGAATTCTCGAAGTTCTTCTCTTGTCTGATCTCAACATCTTTGTCCTTCTTTTCAGATAAATGCTTGTAATGGATTTTACTGTGACTACTTCACTCCCAATAAACCTTACAAGCCATTGCTCTGGACCGAGGCATGGAGTGGCTGGGGGAGTAGTTCTTGTTCTCGGGGTTACGAAGAAATTTCTAGAAGATTAATCTTACGATGTTTCTGATCGGATGTTCGCTGTTTTGGCGAGAAAAAAAGGTTTACAGAGTTTGGCGGGCCGAAAGTGAAACGGCCGGTGGAGGATTTGGCATTCGCAGTGGCTCGTTTTATACAAAAGGGCGGCTCGTATGTGAATTACTACATGGTTTGTTGATTTCCTTGTACCGTGTCCATGGATATTTTGGATCGAGTTTCGGTTGGAACCTTGATATTGTTGTTGTCGGGTAATGACAGTACCATGGTGGAACAAACTTCGGAAGAACAGCAGGAGGTCCGTTTATTACAACCAGTTACGACTACGATGCTCCAATTGATGAATATGGTAATGTGTGTGTGAGCTTCCCGGGTTCTTGTCTTTAATGGCGGAACCATTCAATGTCACTTATGTTTTTCATTGAATCCCTAATCGTCAGGCTTGCTCCAAGAACCGAAGTACAGCCATTTGAAGGAGCTTCACCATGCCATTAAGCTAAGTGAACATGCCTTAGTTTCTTCAGATCCAACCATCACTAAGCTGGGAAACTATGAACAGGTCAAGAAGATTTTGCCAATGTTTGTAATGTTTTTTTTTTGTCTTGTGCTGCTGAAACTCTAAGAAGATTTTCGACTTTTCCGTGTTTGATCTCTTCCAGGCTCGGGTTTTCTCCGATGGTAAAGGAAGCTGCGTAGCTTTCCTCTCGAACTACCACATCAACTCACCGGCTAAAGTAACGTTCAAGAATCGCCACTACGATCTTCCTGCTTGGTCCATCAGTATACTTCCCGACTGCAGTAACGTCGTTTTCAACACCGCTACCGTAAGCCGGAAAAAAAAAGAGCTTTTGCGGGGTCGGTTATTTTTTTGTAACTTCATATTCGAGAAGTTAAATTCTGTGGTCCTTTTTCAGGTTCGGGCCAAGAATTCGCACGTGGAAATGGTGCCATCGGGGTCTGTTTTGTACTCGGTGGCGAGGTATGATGAAGATATCGCGTCTCTTTCGGATCACACGGCAATTACAGCTTCCGGATTGTTGGATCAGATCAATGTTACCCGGGATAGTAGCGATTACCTGTGGTACATAACAAGGTGAAAGAACTTGTATCCACATTCCCTGCTTATCAACCATATGATTTGATGAATTTGGTATCGGAAAGCGTTAGGAATTCTGATGATCTTTTGCTTTTTCGGGGTTTCAGCGTCGATATAAAACCGTCGGAATCGTTCTTGCGTGGAGGAAAGTGGCCAACTCTTACAATAGATTCTGCCGGCCATGCTGTTCATGTGTTTGTCAACGGACATTTCTACGGTACGAAGCCATCCTCGAATCTTCACGACAACTTAGAAACATCGTTCTTTATCGCCTTTCCCGTCGATGATGATGCAGGGTCGGCTTTCGGGAATCGGGAGAACAGGAGGTTTGTGTATAGTGCACCGGTTAACCTACGTGCTGGAGCTAACCGAATCGCGCTTCTGAGTGTAGCCGTTGGCCTTCCGGTTAGTAAACCATAAACCCGAAACACGAAAATCAGCGAACAAACACTAATCACAGACTCTCTTAGATTCTTGAATCTGTTTTTACGAATTCGAATCACTGATAGAGTTTCTTGATTTCGATGCAAGAACGTCGGGCTGCATTTTGAGAGGTGGGAGACGGGAATCGTTGGATCCGTTATGCTAAATGGCCTCGACGAGGGAAAG